GTAAGCATATTTGGAATGGGGCTGTCCCCCCTAAGGTTTCATTCTTTACTTGGCTGGCCTGGAAAAACAAAGTCAAGACAGCAGTGTTTATGCACAGAATTGGCATCTTAGATGCTTCTGCTTCTCTCATCTGCCCATTTTGTCGTTCTGAACCTGAATCTGCTGTCCATATCTTGCTTCATTGCCCATTTTCTTGGTTGATTTGGTCATCTATAATTAATGAGTGGGGGTTCTCCTGGTGCATTCAAGGATCAGTGGATGATCTTCTCCAATGGTGGATGACTGTCAAGCTCAAAAATTTTGATAGGTTAATTTGGAGAGCCATCCCCCTTATTGTTCTTTGGTCGCTTTGGAAACTTAGGAATGAATGTGTCTTTGCAGAGGCTCAACCTAGTCTCTCTGGCTTGAGTGAAAATATCAAATTCAGAGCAGCACTTTGGCTGAAAGCATCTATTAAAGATCTTCCCTATTCCGTTGATGATTTAACTTTCAATTGGCGTCACATCAGAGGATGTTCTTAACTATTCTGAGCTGGTTTGTGTTGAACTCTGGGTTTGTATGGATGTCCTGTGGAGTTTGTTAGCAAGTAGTCAGTTTTTTGGATGAGTTGAAGCTGGTTTGGTTGAGTCAGGCTGCAAGTCAAGTCCAATCTGTTAGAATTCTGGGTGCTGCCTTGTCTTTGGACTGCTACTGGTGCAATCAGAGTTTATGGATGTTAATTAGTGGAGTGCTATGTTGGTCTGTCAAGGTTCAAACATGCATTATTATTGGGTATTGGTTAAGGTCCTAGTATGTTATGCTCAGCTACTGATGCAATCACAATGGGAGCTTGCTGTTAGGTTGCTAACATGCTAACTGTGGAAGGTTTCTGATATGTTAAGGTGAGCAGGGTTGCTGAGATGGTGGTGGCTGGGGATGGACTGAGTTGGCTTGGTTCTCCATCTTCAAATCTGGCTATGTTTATGGATGTTGATTGGTGATTGAATGGTGAATGGTGATTGAATGGCAGAGTTTTAGGTCCTAGTATGATTATGCTCAGGACTGGTGCAACCACCACAGGCTGCTGGTCTGCTATTGTATGTTATGCTCAGCCACTGCTTTGGTGATCTGTCTTATGACCTAGTTGTGGTGTGCTTTTGTGGCCTTTTTGTTTTTGTTTTGTTTTGTTCCGCTCTGTTTGTTGGTTTTAATTGTATCTATAAAGTATTTAAAAAAACTATATTTAAAATATTTCAAAATATCACTTAAAAAAGCAAAAATATTCAAGAATTATTTTCAAAAAATAAAAACCAAACAGAGTGTAATTTTGGAAACAAATGGCCAGTAGCCTATTACACACTTTTCTTTTCACCTGCTATGTGGATTCATAACAGGCTGCTGGTCTGCTATTGTATGTTATGCTCAGCCACTGCTTTGCACTATCTAAATGTAAGAAACATCATATTTACAAAATAATTGCCGATCCCATTTCTAGATAAGGTGGAATCGGTATGTACTCGTTACATTTAGTATGTGAATCTAGAAAAGAGATGGAAAAGTATAGATGTGTTCAGAAAGAATTTAGCAAAATTTTCAAAATTAAATAGGTTAACTCAATTGGTCACGAATGTATACTTTTATTCACGAAGTCAGGGGATCATTTATTGTTAAAGATAAAGATTGATTATTAACCTTATATGGTGGGGAATGGCTTTTCATACCATTATCTTTCATGCTTGCACATACTTTATTTTGGGCCCCATTTTGTACCCGCAATGATAATCTAAATTATTTATCTCGTAAATCTGGTAATGAAAATCATTTGTAAAAAAATCAACTTCATCGGATGAAGTACAAAGGAGCCAATCCCTATATTGTGTTGTTCATTTTTTCATACCGTGGCATTGTGATGGTAATTGGGCTGGAATTGTTTCCTTCTACCTATTATGACGTATTTCTTATAGGAATTGGGCTTTCTTTCCCCGTTCATTATTTAAATTGAAAGGTATTGTTTAGATTTGTTGGGCCTACACCATTGGTTCCATTTCTATGATTTGAACCGTTATTTTGTTTGGTCAATTGTGTATATCATCTACACAAAAAATTATGTCGATCAGATAATCATAACCTATTTAATTTATTGCATTTGTCACAAAAAAATTACATGGCCTATGTATAAGAATTCAATTGTCATATATTTTTTAGAGATAAATGTGATAAATTGAATATGCTACAATTATCAGATCAATTTAATTTTGTGTGTGAATAATATACATAAACAACCCAATAAAATGAACAGTTTATATAATTGAAATAGAAGCCGTGAAGCGTAGACAACACCTTCTATTCCAAATTATGGGCTAGAGAGAAACTAGCTCATTCTTATCATGGTTGCCAAATCAAACCAAGTCTTAATTTCCCTCATATAAGGTCGGCCACATGAATTTTTCTTCTCCTCTCGACTTTATTAATGGCTATTTGGTTAATCAAATTAAAAAGATTCATATCTCCATTTATTACACTAGTTCATATTAATCTAGATCTGTCTTTTTCCCTAACACTTCCCCCTATCGTCTGTGTATCGCATATCTTCACTACTGTCTCTGTTAGTCTCCGTTGTATATGATCAAATTATCTCTTATAGTGGTTGTTGGACAATAATTATTTAGATTGATATAATTATTTTCATATTTGTAATTAATCTCCCTTCGATTGACAATATATATGTGTGTATGTTCTTTGTGTTGTTACTTACGGCTTTATGCTGGTTATTTTGAATTGCTTAGGATGGAAAGGAAATATGGAAAGAGAGGCGCCATTGTTTGGAGTGGGGATGAGCAGATAAATGAAGTGGAAGAAGATCTATTTGTGTTGTTGAACTACAATTTTCTATTTGATTCGAAAGACAACACGTTGTTTTGTTTTGGTTGTCACATTGTAATTGATTGTAGAACATACAATAGCAATTACAAAGCTTAAAGTTGACACAAATTAACACTACTTGCAAGATCGGTGTTTGCTTGCACTACAAGAAATAACATATTTGTCGACCAAAAAATTGGTCGCTAAAAGTCCATTTTTGGTCGGCAAAAGTTATCCGCGACCAATTTTTTTGGTCGCTACTTTGGTCGCCAATTGAGGGTCGGCAAAAGTAATTCGCGACCAAAATTTTGGTTGGTCGGGAAAAGTTGGATTTGCAGACTAAATTTTTGGTCGCTAAATATATCATTACTGCGACGAATTCATTTAGTCGCTAAAACACTTTGGTCGCGAATTGTGATATTTTCCCGACCAAATATCTTAGTTGTCAATTGACACATTTCGCGACCAAAAAGTTTGGTTGCCAATTATCACATTCAACGACCAAAAAGTTTGGTCGCCAATTGTGACATTCCACGTGGTCGCGAAAAGTGATATTTTCCCGACCAAATATCTTAGTCGCCAATTATCACATTCCACGACCAAAAAGTGTGGTCGCCAAAAGTCAAGGAATCGCCGACTAACAATTTAGTCGCCAAAAGGTAAGGAATTGCCGACCAATGATTTTAGTCGCAAAAGTGTAGAATTTGCCGACCAATTTTTTAGTCGCCAAATCTCTCTATTTTTTTTTTCCAGAACATTCAATTTTTGTTTTTAAACATTCAATCCAATATTGAACAAAATTCATTCAACCCAACCACAATTAAGGAATTGCTAACAGTTTCGGTACCACAATTAAGGAACAAAATTCATTCAACACAGCTAAAGAATTTAACTAAGAAGAAAACTTGAGAATTTAACATGTATACAAGAGCAATAGTATGTACAATCTGTTATTTGGCAAAAACAATCACTAAAAATTCAATCTCAAACTACACTTTGCTCTCACCAAAAATTAAAAGAATAAAAAAATCAAAGAAAATAACAAGGTATGAGGCTATTACAATCTGCAACATACATTCCAAGGGGGCAACAGTCGAGCCAGACCAGCTTCCAACTTCCAACAGAGCAGACAGATCATTCCAATGGAGCAACATTGGAGCCAGATTACCTTCACAGACAAAACAGACCAGCTGCCTACCTCAGCGAGACTACCAATCTGCAAAGCCCAGCTTCCACCTCCAAATATTGGCGACAGATTTACCTGCATCTCAGTCCTAATGCCAAGAATAGCCTAAACATATCTGAGCAATTATTACAACACAGCAGAAACCAAGACTGTATTTGAACATATCAGCAATCAGCAGCATAGCAACTCTGTTCAATAGGCAGCAAAGTAGACCTATGCAAACCATGGCTTCAGGGCACCAGATCAACCCAGAATCAACCTCCCTTTTCAGCTCAGATCAATCAGCATAGCAGATTTGCTCAACAACCTCAGCATACCAGCAGAGACCTCAGGGCACCAGTTCAGCCCAGAAACAGCCCAAAATCTGGTCCAATAATCACAAGAACTTCTACAATAAAGCATAATTTGCAAGACACCTATGCAATGTTCATAACTAGTTAATAGTCACATTTATGGAAAGTCCCGAACACATCATTTCATACATTACTTTAATAATCTTGCCAGCAACCCTTAGCAACGAAAAAATAAAAATCAAATAGCATAATAAAGCACATGCATTTCAAATAGAAGCATGTGTTCACAAAAATACCTAGTATGGATCACAATTGTCCAAATCTGAGCCTATAAAACCAACAAATGACTAATTATCGGCATCCCTAAGGAAAATGTAGATTCCAAAAGAAATGACCACCAATTCAATTTTTAAATAACTCCATTACAGATCCAGGCAAGACAGAAGAGCCAAGACACTTCAAACAAGGACAATAATAGGGTCCACATCTCCCTTGCCACTGTACAGTGAAAAAGAAAATGATCCACCACATCGCCACTTCCTTGCACAAACAAACACTAATGAGGGAGGAATTTTCATTTTTTAATCAATTTTCAATGGTAAAAATCTTCACATGAACTACCAACCACCTAAAGTAACCTACCTTGAACGGGCTTTCAGTGTTCATAACGTGTTTCCAAGGGAAATTCCCCAATTCCCTATCAACTTCTTAGTATCTTTTCTTTTCCTTCTTTTAACTTGTCAAAAAAAATCTCTCTCTCACCTTTTTGGGGGAGTTGTACAACATCGTAGACATATGGCAGATTATAGTAGAAGTATAGTTTTTGTTTTTGTTTGTTGTTTGTTGTTTTGTTTGGTTTTGTTTTGTATGCGCCATGTGTACTGGAGTGTGCCACCACTTTTGGGGGTATTTAAGAAAATTATTTTACAAATAAAATTAAAAAAAAAAATTGTTCCCACCATAAACACTATATAGACACAAGACATGGTTCCCACCACAACTGATCCTACTTGTCATTGATTACTCAAAAGAGGAACCCACTTATTGAGAGTCTCTGATCTTCAGTTTGCAATTCACATAGATAAAACTACAGAAAGTAAAATGCTTACATTGTTAGACCTTCAACTTGAAAAGCCAAGTCTGTAAGCATGTAACAATGACATGCAAAGAGGTCGACACACTGCCACTAAGTTTTTAGGTATTATTGCATTGATTACCATCAGAATTTACCAACACACACACCCAAAAAAAAACAAGTTACTTACACTGGCTTTCCTGGAAAGTAATGTCAACACAACTTTGAAAAGAGTTTAGAGACCCAAAAAAAAATACTAAAACTGCTCACTTTTTTCATTTTTTCCATGTTTTGTGGAATAAGTCCATGTTTTCTTCAGTACTTGCACGTTCTAATAAAGGTCAATGATGCTAAGCAGTGGGGACTTACTTATTGAGTGGGAACAACAAAATGTGAGTACAATTTCTGGTAATTGGTAAGATACTAGATGAAAATACTATCTAACAAAAAAAAAGGATCACAAAAAAGAATCAGTCATCCTTTAAAACCAAGAGAAAAGCAGCCTAAAAAATATTTGTTTACCTTGTCAAAAGTTCCACTGTAGTTGAACCATATCCAAGCTGAAATTAAAAAAAAAAAAAAAATCACAAAAGAAATAAAGTTCAGAAGTCTTGATGAAAAATCTTGGTTAACTAGTCAACTTAATATGGATAATCTGCCCTTCAAGGCAGACCTGTAAATTTGATGGCAGAAAATATAGTTCAGGTACTATACAGATAATTACTTTGACTATTAACTAAGATACAAGTAGGATGCATTACACCTATGCTTGTATTCTAATTCCAGATAAATAGGTACACAACAAAGAAAAATTAAGTTCTAACAAATTAAGTTTTCCTTTCTTCTAAAGTTAGTTGAGTCTGGGATGAATAAGGGAGAGAGATTGAGACAGAGGAAGAGAAACATAAAGAAACAAAGATGCAGGCACATGTGCAAACAGTAGAATCACATAATACCAATTTAATGCAAATAGGTAGCAAGTGTAGGTACCCCCGCTCATAGGAATGGCAATTTTCCCCACCCCTCCCCCATTCTACCCCACTCCAACTATTATTATATTTATTAAACATATTTATATGTATATAATATATATTATATAATTTTAAATTTTAAATATAATAAGACTAAAACACTAAAATATTACACTTACCATTCATTTTAATTTCTTTATTTCTTATTTTACATCTTTAACTCTCATCTCATCATTTATAAAACATTATCCATAATATACCGTATCATCTCTCATATATATTAATACCATGACTAGAAAGTTCATAGAAGGTGGTATGTTTGGATGCATACAAGTATAACCACCTTTGTGTATACATAAATTTGCAAAAAGCATGGACAAATGCCATGCTTTGATTGCAGGATGATTCATAATTGAATAATGCTGTATAACCTCGTCAAAATTTAACACTCATTCATATGTCCACATTGTTTTTTTGGATATTTAACATCTGTTGTCCATAATTCAAAATTAAGAAGAAAAAAATTGATAGAGAAAATATTCATTAAAATCGCCAAAAGGTGCAAAACTTCTGTTGTCCACAATTGATAATTAAGAAAGTAAAATTACATTACATCCTCACAAAAAGCATTCTGTTGTATCCAGTAATAAAGATTCAGAAGTGTAAGACTTACAGGCATGCTAGAAATTCCATACTGAATCGAGGGTATCGATCCAGGGTGACCAATTGACAGCGGAGGCATTGCAGGTAAAGCTCCAAAAGGACTCACATTAGGTGCTGGCTGCAATGCCACACTGCTCTGAGTGGCAGACCTGAGATACATGTAATTTGACATAAAATCAGTGGAAAGAAGATAGAAGAATCTTTCTTTATGTCTCAAAGTATGGCATAGATGATAGAAGAATCTCTTGCATTCTTAGTTTTAAACATGGAAATTAGTACGTCTAGCACCAATGTAATCACTCCATTAACTTAACAAGGAAGTTGGTCAATCATATTTTTGGTGGTACATAAATAAGTCTGTTTTCTTTGCTTGATAATTTTACAATGAGGAAACTTCCAATTTATATGTAACCTTTTTAAGATTTTGCATTCGGTGATTATGGTGGCATCCAAGTTAGACAAACCACACTGATTATTCAAATGTTGTGTAAAACATGAAGAAGAGACCCATTTTTGATGATATATCCATGCATCACCAGTTAAGCACACAGTCACACTAGCCATAGACATGATGTGCTTATCAAATTTTAATTGCAGGTAAAATATACCTCTTTGTACTTATCAAATGCACATATTTATGACTCCAATGTGGTGAAGAACACTTGTAAAGTTATTAAGTTTTAGCTTAAAGTAATAGGACAAGTTGCATAACAAATTAGAGATGAAGCATACGGTTGACTGAAGGTTTTCTGACCAAGAACTCCTGTAGTGCCCACGACGCCACTTAAACCGTCCCAAAGAAAAATCAAAAATAAAATGACAAATGCCGGTAATAGACTATTAAAAACTATAGATTTTTTCCACACACAAAATAAAAAATAAAATAAAATACACAGATTTGAATAATCATATCAAAGTTACCTGCTGATGGCTGAGGAAACTTTTTATTAGCAAAAGCATTTGTTGTCTGTGTTGATTGAGTTGGCTGCAAAGGGGATGAGAAAGAAGGCTGCATTGTATAGCATAAAATGACAAAATATATTCATAAGCATGTTTACAAAAGCTGGGACATAATATATAAATCTACACTGCAAAGAGCATAAAAAAGAAAAAGAACCACATAAAAGATTTTAAATATAGGGTTAAATAACACCCAAATTCAACAAGGTTATGATGTCATTGTGTACTAACCGCGCCATCTACTTCAGCAGTTGCAGTGTAAGCTGCTACTCTACTTCTTCCATGTTGACCGCCGAAAACCAAATGTCCAAAGCCTGTGGTTTCAAAAGTTGGCATTGTGGATTGGGGGGCAAATGGAGTAGAAGAGGTTTGGGGGGCAACTGAATTTGAAGCGGTTGAGGAATAGAATGGATTGTCAGGTGATTGGTTGCCAATGTAGGTGAAGGATCAAAGGACCTTGACTGTACAGTGGAACCACCAATCCCACCTGCAGATTGACCCATGCAATGGGGACCGCCTGAATTTGGAATCAACAAGGATGAAGAGTCAGTACAAGCCATTTCAACAATGAAGGCTGGCAGAGATAAATGAAGCCATGTGCATAGGAAAACATACCTTTATCTCCAAACAGATAGTCCTCCCACCTCAATTCTTCATGGCTTTTGTCTTTGTTAATGGTCATGGCAGAAATGGACTCCAGTTTAGCAGCACTATTTCCATCATGTACTTCAGCAGTAGCAGTGTAAGCTGCTGCTCTACTTCCTCCATGTTGACTACAAAAAGCTGACTGTCCAAAGCCTGTAGTTCCAAATGTTGGTGTCGTGGACTGGGCTCCTGCAAAATAGATTGAGAAAATAATAATGACTCATATTGGTAGCAAAATAAATATGTAACCATATTAGACAGTAACCAGCAATAACTATTGTAAATACCCACCTAAGAAGGAATTCTGATCCCCAAAAGAAGACAGAGTAGTTCCAAAAAAGTTGCTGCTACCAGAAGCTGAAGTTGATTGCCCAAATGTTGGAGTGGTACCAAAACCAAATCCTGTGGTGCTTGATGTACCAAAGGTGGGGCTCCTTGAAGCTCCAAATGAAGAATCTTTTGATACACCAAAAAACAGAGGCCTTTGATGGTTCCAATGTGTTTGGAGCGCCAGCACCAAATGCACCGCCACCCGTCCCAAATCCAAAAGCTGCAACACAATTATGTGAGCTGATAGGTGCACTGAAGGCTAGGGAGTGAGCAGAACCAAATGAATTTTGGGTTGATGCGCCAAAGGAAGTAGATGAACCAAATGGACTGCTTTGAAAAGTAGTTTGGTTTTGTGGCAACGAATTCCAAAATGAGTTAGATTGATTAGGATTCGATGCAAATCCTCCAAAAACAAGCTTCTGTCTAAATGCAGAAGATCCTACGAATATGACATAAAAGAAAAAGCTTTCAGTCTAAAGAAAATCAAGAGAAGGGCAGTCAGAAAAAACAACATATTCCAATAAATAAGAATGGCACTGGAATTTTAACAAAATACAAATAATACCATAACTTTTAAAGAGAATTGACATAATCACAAAAGCTCATAGGATAATACACTGAAGGGGGGGAAAAACAATCGCAACGGCCAATGAGGCAATTGAAAACCAGGGATGTGTATTGGAACAAATGAGACAAGGAAGAAGAGAAAAACATCTCTTCGTCGTTTTTTTTTATCATTTCTCTATTCTAAAATAGCCGTAAAGAAAAGAAGCAAAACAACCCCGCCAAGCTCATAAAGAAGAGAACATCTCTTTGTCATATTTTTTTAAATCACTTTTCTATTCTAATATAGCCACATGAAGGAAAAAAGCAAAGCAAACCACACACTGAATATCAGCTCATATCTTGTTTCTAGTCCCAAAAAAAGTAAAAAAATGCAGTACATCATCCAACCAAAAGAAGTGCTAGAAAGATCAAAGTCAGCATGCCGGCCATCAAGTTCCAATCTAGACAAGAATGTATGAATTTACTAATTGTTCAACTCTTCTTGACATTGTCTCAGCAAGTCTTCCAAGAATGGTATATTCAAAGCAAATAATATGGTAAAGTATTGCTATAACGAATTATCCTATCATACTTTCATCACAACCAATTCAGTGAAAAAAATTTAAATCAACAACAAACAAAATTTAAAACAATTTAAAACAACAATAAACAAAATTGAAAAGATAAGGAATGAGAAACTTGAGACCTACCTGCACATCAAAATCTAACACCAGTATTACTGGTTCTCTGTTTAGACACTCTTCCTCTTCAACTTCACGGGCTGCTTCAAGTATTAGTTTTAAGGCCTTCTTGGACAGACTTTCAACTCCATCACTTGTATCAGCGTATGTTCCCCACCTCTGTTGATTACAATATCCCACTTCATCTATGAAACAACCTTTGTTCAGAATTAGCTGCAAAATGCTTTCTTCTCTTTCACATATATGCTTAGCACCTCCTATAATAACTTTGATCAGGCTCTCATGTGCGTCCACTTTACGTTTAACTTTCAAATTATGCATGAGTTTCTTTTGTGACTCCTGGTGCTCACAACCAGACCACTCTCCCAAAAGCAAGAATTGTACAATTGGACCAAACCATGAGTCTTCCAAATCCCTGAGTCATGAAGGCATAAAATTGTGAAATTACCAGCTAATATATTATTTTGGAAAAAGAACCACACAACTAGTATTACATGACAGTAAAGAGGTTATGATCTGGTTGCCTTCAAATTGCTGTCAATAAGACAATCTGTCACTAGCTACTGATTACCTTTGATAAATGTGACACATAGTGTACAATTTTGTGTAGATATTAAAATGGAGAACAGTAAAATAGCAGAAGAGATCAATCCAATATGCATCGTATTGAAGGAAAGACCAACCTCAAAAATTTGCCAAGGCACTAATCAAGACTCTTTCTCTGCATCCACCACAATGACCTGTTCTTTTTTGTATCTTCTAAGGGTTGCATTGACGATGATAAGTAATTCTCCTCCAAAATCAATCTAAAGACTGGGGCTATGTAATCAACCACAGTAGAACCACGAGGACAGTGCCAGCGTTTGACACAAATTTTGTCTTCAAAAAGAATCCCAGAACCAGAATTTGTATCGTTGCCCGAAGCATCTGATCACATTATGCAATAAATTTTAGTGAATTGAACCACCTAAACATGAATGCAGGAGGAAGATTTACAACTTTTCCAAGTCAAAAATGGAAGAGAAGTTACCTTCTAAAATTGAATCCAAAACTTGGGCTTGTTGGTCTGCCCTCTCAGATTGCTTGCCCAAAAAAACTTTTAACATACCCACATTTCCATTATCAAAAAAACCATTCGAGAAGTTATCAAACTTTTAACATACCCACATTTCCATTATCAAAAAAACATAGCAATTCACAAAAATAACAAAGTATTTGTGCTTCAATTGAGGCAAAATACAAAAAAGATAGAAAAACAAATTACAACAAAACCATGCTCCACAACAATTCATGATTCGAAATAACCCCAAATACCCCATTTCCATACGGAAAAAATTAGCAATTTGATTTGGAAAATGCAAAAGATTATGCCTAGTCAGTGACACACAATAAACACCAATGTCCGACACAAATATATGACATGATGATTACCGGAATGGACAGCTCGATTGAAGCGTCTCTGTCTGCGAGAGAGAGGAACATTGGTGGATCCAAAGAGAGAAGAGAAACCATTGTCGCCAAAGAAATCAGAAGAGCAAAGGCCTTTGGAACTGTAATACTCATCGCAGGGCTCGAAAGGCAAGTGAGAGGACATCAAACCCTGAATTCCCGATGAGATTAGGCGACCCTTGGGGATTTCAGAACAACCAGCTCTGCATTTAGATAAAACCCTTCTCTTCCGAGCCCATCTGCTAAATCGCTTCGACGAAGATTGATTCATCATCATCATCACGGGTTGTTGTTGTTGGTCTTTTTCACAAGTAACGGACATGCAAGCGGCGACGAGCCATGTACACACCACGGAAGAAGCCGCCATAGTTGCTACTATGCACAACAACACTCCGAGAACCCAAAAACCCAGTTCAGAACTACAATCAATCAAATCAATTTTTATATGAAAAACAAAAAACGAAATCAATATGAATTTGAGACCAAGAAAACCAAGAAAATTGTCTACACTATTGAGAAATGGGCATTTTGGAGATGGGTTTGTTTGAATCTGGAAGAGATGAACAGCAATCAAGAAGGGTATCGAAGTTGTGTCGTCGTCTTTTTGGATCTCTGTTTCGAAACCGTTCGAGACGCCAAGTTTTGGGCAAGCAATCTGAGAGAGCAGACCAACATAGACACAGAGAGCGGGCTAGATATAGAAGAGATTGGGGCTTTTTTTTTTTTTTCTTTCTGGTACAAAACGACGTCGTTTTTAAAATGGCGACCAAATTTTTTTGTCGCAAAAAAATTCAATTCCCGCCTGGACAAACTTTCAAATTTGCCTCCCAAACTTTTGGCGACCAAAATACCAGATTAGTCGCAAAAAAGATACCTTCGCCGACAAACTTCTTTAGTCCCCAAATCTTAATCAACGGCGACTAAAATATTTGTTGCTAAAAATACTCATTTCGCGGCTAATTTATTTTTGGTCGGCAAAATGTGACATTTTGCGACCAAATTTGTAGTTGGTCGCCAAAAGCATACCAATTTCTGCGACTAACTCATTTTTGGTCGCCAAAATGTGACCTTCTGCGACCAACTCATATTTGGTCGCAAAAAATATTGATCATTCGCGACTAATTAATATTTGGTCGGCAAATGTCATTTTTTTGCGACAAAAATTTTTTTGGTCGGCAAAAGTGGTCGGCAAATGTGTAAATTCTTGTAGTGTTGATTAACACATGTTCTAAAATCTTCATTGACTATTTTATTAACGAGCAATTCAAAGCACCACAAATAATAATGTTGGCACCATAAATAAATAATTTTATTATTAGTTATTATCTATATAATTGTAGGACATGTGACACTCTCCTACTCATTTGAAGGTTATGAGAAGTTATGAATCATTAAACACATGAAATAAAATAATAGAGGACAAGTGGAGAGCATAGAGCATGAATTGGAGGTTAAAGGACATGTAGATGAAGTAGAAGATCATAGTGTGTGAAGTGTGGGAGATGGAAGGATATGGTAGTTATTAGGTAGTTTTTTTTCTACAAATGTTTGCCTATAAATAGTCATTTATGGCTATATTGTAAGAGATCTAGAACTCAAATTAAAGACAATTGATTTCTATTTTTTTTTTTGGTCATTTATATTTCATGCACTTAATTTTATGTACTTCATTTTCGAAGCATAGGAGTAGTGGCAAATTTTATGCACTTCTTTTTTGAAGCATAGGAGTATAAGTAAATTAATGGTTAGTTTGATTGTTCACTCAATCATCCTGATTGTTCAGTCAATCATCTTTCTCCGTCTCCCTCCTTTTTTTAATTTGTCTTTTTCTCTACATTTTTGTAATTTTGAAATCCATTTCATTGAGGCAAAAAAACTGTTAACACAATCGTTTGATAATTACGTTGAATTTGATCTATAAGGATTTTTCAATCTTTACTGGCATGCTCACATTTATGGTATTTTCCTTCGTAAGAAAAATAAACTAACAATTTTTAGCACGCCCAGTGGGACGTCAAGTGTAAGAAATGAAAAATGAATTGGATTTGTCCATTCCAACTAACTTAGGTGAAATATTTTGGTGTAAACAAAAAATTATGGATCTTTAAGAAGGGATTCATTTTCTTGATTAAACAAACTTCCATCCATTACAATATTATTTGGTGGAAGAAAAAAGACACGATTTAATTGAAGAAATTCATGAACTTTATAAGGAAGTTTGCCAATGGAATGATGAGTTGTCAACTGTCACTACCAAGTCTTTAACTGAGGCTTTAATGGCCGGAATTGGTGAATTCACTACAACAAATCACACCTTTGACGACCATTTTTGGCGACTAAACAAATTTTAGTCACCGAAAGTACATTTTTTGGCGACTAAAATTTATATTTGTCGGCGTTGGTTCAAGATATCGCTACTAAAATATTTTAGTCAATAAATATTACCTATTGGCAACTAAATTTAAATTTAGTCGGTAAAAACTCAGGTTTCAGCAACAAAAAGTTTAATTGGTCGCTGTTAGTCCAAATTTTAGGCAAAAAAAAAAATTAATCAGTAATATTGGTTTTTCCCGACTAAAATTAAAATTAGTTGCCAAATGGTACTTTTGGCAACTAATATTTTCGTCGCTGTTCAGTAACCTTTTGGCTACAAAAACATTTAGTCGGCAGACCTATCCCTTTGCCGATAAATACAGAAATTAGTTGCTAAGGGTCCAATTTTCAACCCGTCAATCCTTTATTTCAGCTTGTGCCCCTCTCTCTGTTATACTTTTTTTTGAACGAGCCCTCTCTCTGTAATATCACACTTTGTAACACACACATACACACCATCCTTCACCAAACCTCACAAAAACCATCCCCCTCACTGTAGCCTACCGTACAATTGACATTATGATGGCCACTGCCCTTGTACGAATCACCACCGTCACAACTCACCATTGCCGCACATCGCAGGTTCTCTCTCTCTCTGTCTCTTGTATTCTCACTTTCGCTCACGATCTATCTGTGTGTCTCTCTCTCTGTCACTTGAGCTCTCTCACACAATCTCTCTCTTCCTTTGTCTGTCTCTCTCTTCTTTACTCTGCTTCTCCCTCTTCTGACATTGTTGGTTTAGGGTTTATTCAAATTTGAATGTATGTGCCTGTAATTTATTAAAAATTTGGAAGATGATGTTTAATATATGTGTGTTTGTGTATTTAATGCTTTGTAGACGTATAGGCGTCTCTCTCTCTCTCTCTCTCTCTCTCTCTCTCTCTCTCTCTCTCGCTCTCTTACGCACAGTCTGTCTCTGTGTCTGTCTCTGTGTTTGTCTCTCTTTCACTCTATCCCCCTTGCTTTGTTTCCCAATTTTCTCACATTATTGCTTTAGGGTTTATTCAAAATTTAGTGTTTGGGGCTGTAATTTATGATAAATTTCAAACATGATGTGTAATATAGACAGGTGAATGTGTGTGTATATATATAATGCTGTGTGGATATGTATAATAATGCTATGTGTGTATAAAATGTTGTGTGTATATATAATGTTGTGTGTATATGTTGTGTGGCTGTAATTTACTAGTTGCCATCCAGCTTAAGCCCAAAGTGGATCTGAGGAAAATGGCCCACTGTTAGACAACATAGACATTAACAAAAAATAAAAATATCCTTGTTCTTTATTTATTTATTTATTTATTTTTTCCATCTATGAAAGAAGAACATATATATTTATAGATTATTATTATTATTATTATTATTATTATTATTATTATTATTATATATATATATATATTTTTTTTTTACCCTAAACATGAAAACTACAGTTTGAGCACTGTTGGCCGATTATAATCCAAAGTTTGACAACTTGAAGAAATTCTACATCTCTAATTACATACTTGTGCCCGGTTCAAAGGGTGAGTGTCTCCCCGATGTACCAGAATGCTAGTGCTCGTATTCATTAACTCCAAAAGTGGTAGTCAGTTCGATAGGGTTCTCCTTATCACATATAGTTCTCTTCTAAACAAAAACCAGGTGTTTTGGCCTTCAGTGAAGAGTGTTCAGAATTTTAGGGATTTTTAATGCAGAATTGCATTAAACTTTGACAGAGTTGAATTAGATCTATTTTCATATGTGGCTTAATTTTACTGTACTGTTTTAGGTTGTTGATTTGTTGGAAGAGACTCTTGATGCTGTGTTGCACAGATTGTATCTCAATCTAGAAAAACTCAAGCTTAATGGTGATGAATTGGCTCTTAGGATTCAGGAGAATCTGAGAATCATTGTGAGTTTGAGTTATAAATTACTTGTAAAAGTTAATTTTTGTATATAGCTTATTAATTTCAGATGTAGTAGGCAATGACTGCATATCAATTTTGCTTATACATTTCTGACATGGATGTAGCTCATTAGGTTGCAGCTGGGGATGGCATAGCCGGCTGGCTTCTTGGAGCTGTTTCGGATCTCAAATTATCTCAGCCACCACCTGTTAATGTACACCTCCTAACCCACTAACCTAACCCACTACATCCACCCCACTAAACCTAACACACTTACCATCTCCACTACCACCCACCACCTCCACTACCATCCACTACCACCACTCACTAACCCAAACCCTCTCCTATATAATGCCACTCTGATTTGTAATAGAATATATCAATCATAAACTCATCAATCAATAAATACATAAATTCTTACATGGTATCAGAGCAAGGTTAACAACTTAACCATTCTGCTTCACCGGCGGGCGGCAGTCTCGCTTTGGCCGTCCGCCGGACCTCTCCACATCTGAGCATGGCTTGCCACTTGAGTTGGTGTCTTAGACTTCACAAAATTATGCTTGCAGTAATTCTGAGGAATGAAGTTGGATGGTTCGATGAGGAGGAACACAACTCTAGCCTGGTAGCAGCTCGGTTAGCTACAGATGCTGCGGATGTGAAATCGGCCATTGCTGAGAGGATCTCTGTGATATTGCAAAATATGACATCCCTCCTCACTTCGTTTATAGTTGCTTTTGTGGTGGAATGGAGGGTCTCCCTTCTCATCTTGGCCACCTTCCCTCTTCTTGTCCTAGCCAACTTTGCTCAGCAACTCTCTCTCAAAGGGTTTGCTGGTGACACAGCCAAGGCTCATGCCAAGACAAGCATGATTGCAGGGGAGGGAGTGAGCAACATTCGAACCGTTGCAGCCTTCAATGCTCAAGAGAAAGTCCTATCCCTATTCTGCTATGAGCTCCGTGTCCCACAGCTCCGAAGCCTTCGCCGAAGCCTTACTGCTGGTGGCCTCTTTGGCCTTTCTCAACTTGCTCTCTATACCTCCAAAGCTCTCCCTTTTGAAATCTATTTTTCACCCCTGCCCATGAACACCACCGACAGAGAGCACATGCATACACATGCTCACCATTCCACCATTCCACATTTTTGAAATGAATAGTGCTGGTGGGCCCTACCACTAGCCAAAGCATCCACTCAATTTGTCTCCACTTTGCATTTTTCCCTTTTTTTTTTTTATTTCTTTTGTTTTTTTTTTTATCATGCCATCCACCTAAGTTTGTCCCTCTCTCTCCTACGTTTGCTTTCAAATTTAATTATTATTATTTTTTTTTTTTCTTTCTTTATTTTATTGTCTCAAAAAAAAAAAAAAAAAAAAAAAAAAAAAAAAAAAAAAAAAAAAAA